GGTAGTAGCGCTGCTCTAACTGTCTGGCAGGTAGAAACACAGAGGTATGCTAGGTCCTATGACGCAACCCTTTTTTGTCCCCCCAGAGGATTGAATCAGAGGAGGGATATATCCCCCTGGGGGAAGGATTGAATACCGCCCCTGATAGTGACCTTTTGCTTGAGGTTGATCTTTCGATTGCGAGATGTCTATAGAAACTATTATTTATTTTCTTATTGAAGAACGACTTCATCACATTTAACAACTCAAGAAGGTGACGTTTTGAGAGGCTGACCGTTTTATTTGCCCTCTTCGGAGCCTAGAAGATAAAAACCGATTCATGATTTCTCCGACCAAATGCCACAAAACTCACGATACCTTCGAGCTAAAGCCTCAGATAACCACTTCCCTGAACGAGAGTATCGAAATACGCCGTACAATACACTTACGATAGCATTCATAATAATAGATAATAATAAGTGGTACGATAGGTATCTCTATAGTATAAGAGCGGTTCCGGCTGGAGCACTTGCAAAGAAGTCATTGAGCTAGGCTTTAAAGGAACATTTTCAATTAACCTAAGATATGCTGAGGCGCTTTGAACACAACTATGAAGGATAGAATGATGAAGAGTTCTTGTATGCTGGATAGTAGCGGGGTGATTGCCATGTGCTTCGGGAGCCACCATTAGTGGAGGAGTCCCGTCGTTGTTTTCTGCTGCTTCAGTGCAGCGAAGTCAGGCTTTGGACGACAATGGGTAAGGTCCCAAATAGGTTCTAGCCAATCCGAGCTGTAGGGAAACCTAACCATCCCCGCTCGGATAACATATAGGCAAGTGGGCAGACTTTAAAGGAAGAGATTGTTGCAGAAGTGGTGAATGACCCTACTATTTAGTTCTTCAAGGGTAAATTTCTATTCTGTCAGATAGACCTCATTTTTGCCTAGGGGCAGTGCAGTGGCCGGCGTTGAGAATGGTCCTGTCAGCTTTGTGCATCAATCAAGACTGCTCTTCCCTCATTGAACTCATTTTATTGTTCAGCCTAAATTCGTGATCTCAGACTCGACTCAAGGCTGGCCAATGGTGGTCCTAGGGTACTAATGATCTCCCCTGTTAGATCCTCCATTTCCTCACATGTACAAGACTATTTATCTTCCTCGCAACCTGATGTTGACGAGCTGACGATGAGAGCTGCCAGAAGGGAGGCTGAAATTTACTTAATCCGTGTCTAATTCCGATTCAGACACTCGGATATCCTCACGAATCGAAGTTAAAGGCTAAGCGAGCGTTGGGGAAGGTGTCAACAGCACTAACCGCAGCCGCGGAGTGTTAGAATTTGCCCGGGAGCGGCACTTCTCGGGCAGAGTAAACGGCTTGTAAAGACAGCTCGATGGCGTCATATCCGACCGCTCTTTGCGTCATTAGGCTCTCAATCCTATAGCCGTTGCGACATTCCCACCTTTGAAGTGCAGATCGCCATCACAAAAAGGCACGTCCCGCGATTAGTCCACTAGAGTAATCACTCGATGAGTAGGATAGAGCTGTTTGCGAAGGTCATCAATGTGCCGTTCACACGGCTCTAAACTGCGCAACAGCGGCGCTGGGCCTTGCCAATGGTCTCGATTAGTGGCCCTGTGTGGCACCCTGTAAGCAACGGCTGCCTCCCTGTGCCCTCTCATCTTACACGCCATGCTCTCTCGTTTATCCTGCCTGCTCGCTCCAGCGCGCTGTGACTGCCTCCCGTTTTTGCAATGCTGCCCTTATGAAAACGAAAACTTTCAATTTCAGAGTTTTTCGATGCCTTCGCTTTGCTTTCGTTCTTTACCGTTGGTCACCTACGTGCCCCCTGCTTTCGTTTCAAAACGGAATAATCACAAATTTCGATAGCGGGTGAGCACTTTAAAAGCGCAAGCTACGATTACGTGGTACAAATGTTCTCGGCAAGATGGAACCACAGGCTCGTAACTGTAAACGGCAAGTGCCCATCCGTGGAAGGACGCTAGCCAATCTAGGCCTTCTCAAAAAGGAACGCATGACGATCAATCGCACGCCATCCCACTGTCGCTCTCTGCGACTCGTTCGTCCGCCATACTCTCTCGTCACCGAGAGGGTATGGTGGACGAACGAAACCGAGACCGTCATCTCTTTTCACCCCACGTAGACGCTTAGATGCTCTCGTCTCGTTGTCACTTCCATCTCGTGATACCCGTTTACGAACCAGGAAAAGAGTCCCTAATTTCTCGTGTTTTATTCCTTTCTCTCTTCCTACTTTCGTTTAATTTTCTTACCTGGTACACTTCGCCCTGTGCTCTCATTTTCAAACAGAATCCCTATACCAATTTGGATGCGGGTTGAGCCTCTAGTTTTCTTGATTATAGGAACCTGTGGCGACTTGAAAATTTCAGAAGCCCCCTCTTAAAGGTTTAGCAAAACGAAGCTGCTCTGCTTTAATCTTTTCTCCTTCTCACTTCCTTTTCCATTATCTTCACTGGCGGTCGCTTTTCGCCCTCTACACTCGCATTTTTAAACAGAATAACCAAACTAATCGGCTCACGGGTTGAGCCTCTATTTGATCTTGATCGTAGTAACCTGTGGCGGCTTGAAAACTTCAGAAGCCCCTTCCTAAAAGGTTTTGCAAAACGGAGCTGTTGTGCTCGGAACTCCTTTGGACTCCTTCATACGACTACATCTTCGTCATTTAGCATATTGTGACTACCACCGGTAAACCTCAACTTGCCAGTGTCCCAATCCATCCAAAAGTTCTGTAATTTCCGAAAAATTCGTTCACTTACAGATTCCCTGACTTCTCATCCCACTAGAGAAATTTGTATTTTCCCAATGAATTTGTCAGCTCTTCACATTCGAAATCAGATATGATTTCTGATCCTTCCGAATCGCGGATGCTGTCAGGGTTCCCTGGTTAATTCCCCGCGAGGAGCGTGTCACTCCGGCTCGACTCAGCCGAGAGAAGCGAGAATTGGGTGCGTGTAGAGCACCTGTTCACCAGCGCGTCTTTACTGTAAATGTTCTATGGCACGTATGTTCGCTCCGCAGCACAGTTGCAACCACTTGAGTCCAAGTCTGAGTTTTTCTTCAGGCTATTCTTTGTAAAGGACCGAGTCTTGCACTTGACAGCATCAACTGCTCGAAGCACTGTGTATTCCGTCTGGCCACACCTTCGGCGACAATGAGGGTCAGGTAGTGCGAGGGTAGTGGAGGGGTTAGAGAAGGGAGGGAGGGATTTATACTACTCCGAAAGAGCGATCGCATTTGCAATGGACTGCTGTCCCGAGAGGGCGTGGCCGTCGACAAGGCGCAGTCGGTCGGTTGGTCGGTGGCCGACGGCATTCTCGACTGCCACATACTCGTTCATTCTCCTTCTCCTTCGTCTTCGTGATTTCGTCCATCAACTCTCGATCTCCCATAACTTAACAGTACTCCTTTCAGAATGACGATAGATTGCATTTCGTTGCGTCCTATGGAAAGTGACGGCTTTCAAGTCGTCACCGAAGTCGTCACTCACAAACTTAACCATATTCCTATTTTCAAGGTTTGTTTACATGTTTTCTATTATTTGGCCGAATAAACATGGGGTAAACATCGCCATATTCTGAAGGAGGGAATTGCATCATCCGTGCCGTGGGCACTTCGCGATTGCATCATGCGCCGCTAGAGAGCCCATATATGCTCCACGCATAGATTCAGGCTCATTTTGAAGGTCCAACGGGACACTGAGCCTAGTCCAAGGGCTCTTTTCCTGGCGCTACTCATCAACGTCCAAACCAAGAACCTTTTCCTAATTACGTTATCCGAGTCAGGGTCACGCGTGTCGCCAAGAAAAGCTCGATGCTTGATAAGGAGCGATAAGTGGCCAAATTGGGACTGGTGGGAGCGGTGCTATATTTTGGCCCTATTTTTAAAAAGCCCAATAACTGTTGTGACTTTCTAACGAGGTTAAAAGGTCCACCATTACTGGCATTTTGTTTACTTTCTACCTTACCTCTCCCCTCTTTTCGACTGGGTTTTCGGGAACGTTGAGAAAGATAAAGGCAAAACGGAAGACGATAGGATGTTAGATGGGGGGGGGGGGGGGGCAGAGTTTTGGTTATGCAAAGCTAATTTCACCTATGTCGAGATCGATTCCCATGCTCGATTCTGCTCCGGGGTGAACCTGGCGATGTACGCGGCGTACCCCTTCCAGGAGAAATTCCGCAATAGGGTGAAGTGGACCAAACCCTTCCATGAAATCTTGCCCCCTGTGGGCGAATGGGACTGGAATACCGTACACTGCATTTTCAGGGTGACTTCGCTTCGTTGGCACCAAAAGTCCAGCGTTTCGTGGCCGAGAAGGCCGAGTTGATGAATCCGGCTGGTATCTACATCTGTGACGGTACTCAGAAGGAATTCGACGATATCGTCGATAAGCTCGTCGAGAGAGGTGTGCTGACACCACTCAAAGCCTACGAGAACAAGTCAGTAAGCAACGAACCATTAACTTCTGCTATTTTATCATTTAATCACCGGCAATCAAATTCTCTAAATAAACCGAAACTAGATGGTGGCCCCTTCTCTATTAAACCATTTGAATTGTAGCGCAAACCTGAATTTCAGCTGATCAGTTCGTGGGAAACTGCTCTCTGAAATCCAGGCAAATATTCACTTTTGCCAGCTTCTCCCTGCCTGGAACATATTTGTGGTAATTGTCAACCAGCAAAAGAAGGGAAGAGTGACGTCAGGCGATAAAACAAAATAACCATTCGGAACAGCTTTGTTTCATAAAAAGGTGCCACACTGGGAAGCTTCGCAGGAAATTTTCTAAACTAATTGGGCAAGGTTTTGTAGGCATTTAACCGAAAACTCTTGTTTTGCTCGGATAAACTCTCCATCTTTTGGGATGGGGTTTTTGTTTTTCCTTTCCTATCCCACTCCGCCTTTCGTTAAAGATGGTTTGATTTTTCTCACTTATGCACAGATTCTTGTTTTCTCTAGCCCATAAATGAGTAACCCAATTAGATTCTTACCAGAATACCACGTGTAGAAAAGGGATAAGCTCCATGCCGCATACCTGTTCTAATCATTTGTGGAAGGGGGAGCCATGACTCTTCTGGAATTTTCTCACTAAAAACAAGTTTTTTGCCTTTTATAAGATGAATCGATTCCTATTCCCTATAAGGTGGCCGCTTTTATCACGTAGAATGCGTAGCAGAAGCAAACTTCCGACTGATAAGAAACTTGCAACGTGCCGAAATGACCCTTGACTTTCCTTTAATTGGTATGCGCCACGTAATCAACCTACTCGCAAAATCGATCCCAAACAAAGTGCCATGGACTAGGGAACATCAAAAACATGGATGTCTACTTTACTTCACCTGTATAGAGAAGTAGACCGAGTTGATCATGGCTTTTCTCACCCGGCTAAGCAACTTAGTAAGTTCAGAATTTTTGGGAGATTTTTG